TTTTTAAACTGTGTGTTCGATCTAATAATTTTGAGGTTAAGAAAGGATAACTGTTTACTCTTTTCGTGTTCTATGGTAAATTTGATGTTGGGATGAATGGAATTTATGTGTTTAAAAAAGTTAGTGTGTGTTCTGTAGAAGTGAAACCAGCAAAAGTGTTCTCGATATATCTGTACCAGTATAGTGGGGGATGAAGAGCAGAATGTATGGCTTGTGTTTCGATCTGGGTCATGAATATATTGGCAAGAACGGGCGAAACAGGATTGCCCATACTTAAACCATCTATTTGAAGGAAATGTTCGTTGTTGAAAATGAAGTTGGTTTTAGTCGTTGTAAATTCTAAGAGAGAAGCAAAAAGTGTGCTGGGGATTTGCATTAACTTGTTGGGGTCATTAATGTAGAGGTTGAGTGCAATACTGCAAGAATTATCCACACTTGGACAAAACTAGTCATTAACCACAATATTCCTGTCAACGTCAAATTCTCACAAAAAAAAACCCGGCTCTAAATTAAAATCGTTACTAAACCAAAATTATTTAGAATCACACAATACCGACGTCATTTACAAAATAACATGCAATAACTGCCCAGAATTCTACATCGGAGGAACAGGAAGAAAATTGGAAATTGACATTAAATTTAGCAATCAAAACAAAATATAAAATCTTATGAACTACAGTTTTTTGTTTTTAGTTTAAGCACAAAGCTCCACAATGGACTATCTGTGCTCTGTCCACCACAGGTATCGAACCCAGGTTCTAGCGTTGTAACTACGTAGACATATCACTGTGCCGCTGGGGGACATGAACTATAGTGAAATCTTAGTATGACTTCAACTGAATAGCTATTTGCGCACTTTTTTTTCAGGTATATATATGTGTGTGTGTGTATATATATATATAAAAGCAATAACACAAACAAAATCATGACTTCGATTGAAGATCAAGAATTCCTGATTGAAAGTAGTTTGGATTTAGTATGATCAAAAGTGTATTAATATTTTATAAATGTGTCGGAACATTATTTATTTATTTTAAAATACATATAATTGGTTTACATTTTTGCATTGTTCCTATAAAATGGTTTACGTATCTAATATGTTGTCCCCTCCCAGTAGGTCAGCGATTCAGCGGTAAGCCTGTAAGCTTTACAACGCTAAAAATCGGATTTCGATGCCTATGGTAGGCAAAGCACAAATAACCCATTGTGTTGTTTTGTGTATAACAACCATAGGCGGTCTTACCTATTGGGCAAACTAGGCAATTGCCCGGGCCTCACGCATGGAAGGGCCTCGATGCTATGCCTTTTAATCCACTGCTGTGAATGCAATACATGTTTTGCACTATTATTTCTTCCTATATGTATAAGATTAATGTATCAATTAATTTGTTTTTCATTTCAGATCATATGTTCTACATTTAAAGTTTGATTACTGAGTTTTCTTATCATTATGGAGCCTCATTTACTGACTTTTGCCCGGGGCTCCAAAATGACTAAGACCGCCCCTGATAACAACAAAAAAAATAATAATGTAGAAGATGTAAATTAAGAGTTTAGCGTTTCAATTTCTGTGTTTCAGTCTTCAGATATTACATTAAAAATTTCTTAATCTGATTGATAGTAAATCTAGGAACAGATTAATGTACATGTAATGTTATCCAAAAAGTTTATTTTAGCACGTTGTATCCTCGGTTACTTATTGGTTTGACTATAAATATCCAACTTTATAACGTATAACGAAAAACATAACAAAAGCTCACACTACCTCAGCGTTAAGTTTGAATGTTTAAAGTGCTAAAAACGGATTTTATATGTCCGAAGACATCTTACTCGATTATAGCCAATTTATTGACAAACATGGCCTGCAGTTTGTTCAGGAATGTTGGTAGATGATTTTGATGGCGAATGCAACATTCAAAGCACATAATGTTCAGTCTCTTTCTTGCCTAGATTAAAACTCAGCTACTTTAGACATTCAGCATCATTTCAGAATTTACCCTTCCAATCCTCGTGTTATAAAGTGGACCTATCTAATAATTTTTTTAGAAAAATCAGTTCAAACCCAAAATACTACAAAATAGGTAGGAAAGTAAAGTTTAGGTGCCATGACCACAAGAGTTTATTGCAGAGTTTTCTGTTTTTGCTAGTGTGTATATTGCTTTTACTTGAACTCTTGAATCATACGGGTTTAAAGGAATGCTTCTTGCAGAAAGAATACCATTTTCTGTAAGTAGAAGTACTTACGACAAAGAGGAGGGGGAGTTTACAGTAAAAGAGAGAAAGTTCTTTGAGAGAGATGTCGAATCTAAGAGAAGTCATCTTCTGGACAAAGGACGTTTTCTGATGTTGCAAAGATCCAATTAATTGAACTCTCTTCAACCTTAGTCAACAGAAGATCAGAAGGTGCCCGGTGTGCTCAAAATGGAAGCTTGAGCACTGCCTCTGGACTCTGATCTCAGTACAAGTGAAGCATAGATGGCTGAGGATCATAGAGGTGGAGTGGCGCCTGGTCAGACGAATCTGAGACCAAATGGTTTAGCCTCTACAGGACTTCCAGGCTGTTGCTACTCCAGTCAGAGTTTCATAACCCCAGCTCTGATAATAACCACCTGAGACCAACTAAAAAGGAGTGGTCATGCTGCTGGTGAACAAACTCGGCGAGTCACATCTAGTTCCCTTGCAGTTGAGGCAGTTGGTACCGATAGAA